TAATATCTTTTGCTATATAAACAGGAACAATATTGTCTTGAAATGTATAAAATTATTTATAATATTTGGATTGAATAAATGGTAATAAATTTGTTCTAAAATATTAATATAATTGAATATATTCATTTTATTATTTACTTTTACTAATGGTCCTAATTATTTTTCAGAGAAGCATCTTCATATCATAACACCTCTGTTACTATATTTAACTATAGATGTTAAATTTTAATATTATATCAAATTCTATTCTTTTGTCAAACATGATTAGAACTATTATTTTGAAAAGAGTAAATCTGGACTCATCATTCTAAATAATAGTTTTTTACTTTTAATTAACCAATTTTATCATTTTATACACTATAATAATTGATTTTTATGTTGAAATTTTGTAAGAAATAGTTTTATTATAGAAATCTATGAATAAATTTTCATTTGATAAAAGTTTCTACAAATAGTTATGATTAAAATCTCTCTATTTTGTGAATTATTAAAATTTTTCTAAATTTTATTAAGAGAGAATTGGTTGTTTTTTGACTATTTTTGAAGTTTATAACAATCTTTATTATTCATAGAATATTGCCTTCTGGATCTTTTAGCCATTAACCCAATATTAAATTTTTTGTATTAAGAAATTGTGTCTATAATAGTACTTTTTAGAATTTTTAAAATATTACTAATAGCTTCATGAGTTTTTCCTACTAATAAAAGACCAATAATCTTTTTACATTCAAATTCATTTAATTCATAATCTTTTTCTATTTTAAAATCTAACTTCAAATAATATAATAAAAAAAGATCAAAGATCGTCACTATACAAAATTGATCATTATTTATATTTTTATTACCAAATTTGCTATATGTATTGTAATACAAAATAAATTAAACGTAAATAATCTTTAGAATTAGAACATTTAATTTAAAAAAAATACTAATTGATATATCTAATCTTGAGAAAATCAAAAAAAGCTTGACCAAATACTTTTGATAGGATAGTATATATAACTTCGTTAAACTTTAAAGTAATGTGATATAATTTGGTAACAAAAAATAGTTTATAAAAAAATATGATAAAGGTAATAAATTTAATATAATATTAAATTATAAGCATATTAACTTACCTAAGACAGAGATATTAACCCTATAAAATTTCAATTTTGCATAATTTTTAACCTTACAAAATTCTAACATTTAGCCAAAAGATTATTCAAAAGTATCTTTTAGTATAATGAATATTATTACAATATAAAAAGGATTTATTTATTAGAATAATTATATTTCTAAATCTTTTTTATTTGAATTTATAAAAAATCTTTAGACAAATTTATAAAATAAGTCTATACTATTATATAATATATACATTATAAATTCAAAGAATTAATTTCAATATATAGATAACCTCCTACATAATCATATCTAAGGTTACTTATTTAAATTCATTTTAGATTTGGTAAAATGTCTAAACTATAGTTTTGCTAATTTTTACTAAGATTTGATATAGTTTCGCATTTTTATAAGCTTTGATATAATTTTACCTTTTTCAGAATTTTGCAGATTTTTTAATAAGAAATACAATTTCGTTAAATTTTTTTTTCTATTTAGATAACTTGCAAAACCTTTAAGCTTCATCTAATAACCTTAGTCACACCTCTTAATACTAAAAAAATTTGATATGTAAATTAACTTCAATCTAACAAAATTGTTTTTACAAATACCTTTGTTCTTATATAAACTTTTAAAGAAGAAACTAAATAGAGTAAATAAAAAATATGATATTTATAGATTCAAATTGAAATTAGAGATCTGTAGCTATATCAATAATTAAATTATTAATATTTTATTAAAATTTTTAATATAAACTTGAATAATAATTGTAGAAGAGGTATATGGTATTTATATTTTTTTATTTAAGAATTTAAATATTTTTTATTTTATTTTATTTTATTTTTAACTAAAAATCAAATATATATTTATTTCAATTTATATACTATATAATTTTGAAGCTTAATTAGAGATAAAAAAATTGCATTTTATTTTGATCATAATTATTATTCAAAGAAAATTTATTTATTATTGTATTGAGTATAAGATTTTGAAATTAATTTAAAAACCTTAAAGAATTAAAAAAAAATCCTTACCTACTGTATATTTTCACATAATTCTCTAATAATCAGTTGCTAAAATATTGAATAATTTTTTTAACAATAATAATAAAGGATTATATTTTATCTGTTTATTTAGTTGAAAATTTAAGAAATATGAAGATATTGTATAGCAGTTTTTTTTTTTTTCTTTTTTTTTTTTTTTTATATATTTATTTTATTTCACCTGTATTTTAATATATTTCTTAGTAGTTTTTTTTTTAAAATTTAATATTTCTCTTCTCTTTCTTTCTTTATATTTTTATACCTTTTAAGTTTCATAATAAGATGAGAAAAGACAGAACTTTTTAAGTCTAATTTACTATCTTACATATGAAAAACTCTCTCAATAAAAGAAAAAGCTCAGACAATTACATGATTTTAAAAAATTCACAATTTAATATTATTGTTAATTTAATAAATTATAATTATTCTGTTATTTTTAAAGATTTTTAAAATCAGTTTTTTGCAAACTAGAGTAAATTTTGCAAGAAATTCATTAAAAGCATTAGTTTTCTTTAGCAAATTTATATCATTTATTAAATAGAATAAAAGAAAAATATAAGAATTATAATTTATAAATATTATATTTTTTTAATATATTATATATAAAAAAAAATTTTTTCTAAAAGATTAGATTAATTAATATGTAATTAAAAAAAATTCAAAAACAAAATTTGGTTGAGTTCCTCCTTTGCTAGAAAAGTCCCTATATATTGATAATTTATCTATATTTATAAGTCAAATAGGAGTAAATTTTTTTTTTTAAAAAAAATTGGCTTATCTTTTATTAACATACTATTTTTAATTTCCTTTTAAATTTTGATATAATTTAATTACTATTCAATTAAGAAAATAATATAAACAATTAATTATTACTTAGTTACGTAAAATAATTTAATTTGTTCATTGATTTATAATTTATAATTTAAATTACATTTCAATTATTGTGTTTTGAAAATGCAATGAAAATATAGTGTGCTAAGTATATAATAAAAAATAAAGTTGCAAATAAAAAAAAATTTGATTTATTTTTTCATTGATCTTTTTTATCGATTAAGATTTAATTGTTAAAAAAAATATTCTTCTATCATTATAATTTATAATATTGTAAAAAAAAATTGAATTTATTTTTTATTTGATCTTTTTTTATATAATATTAATAAAAATTTGATTATTAAAAAAATTATATTGATATATAAATAAAGGTAAACTATATATAAATTATGTATACTAATTTTAAATTGATCTATAAAGTCTAATTAAATTTAATGAAGGCAATTTTTAGCAAAAATCTGTTTCTTGATAAAATATTGCACATTTATTTAAAATTAATTTATTTATTATATTGTATTGAAAAAAGCAACAAAAGTTACTTTTAAATATTCTTTTTAGATTTTTATATAAATTAAATATGAAAAATTTTCATTTATTATTAAGTAAAATCACATACTTTTTAGAAAAGGAAAATAAGTTTACTAATTATGATTTTTTGCAATTTAATAATTACAGAGAATATTTAAAAGATTATATATTCTTAAAATGTTTAAATATTTTCTTTATTAAATAATTCAATATAATTTATTAGTTATGTAATAATCTAAAAACTTTTTAAGGTCTTTTAGAAGTTCTGTATGCTTATTATCATTATAATAATAGGTTTAATATAGTTAGAAATAATATTTTTTTTACTTCAATATTTTTTTCTTTATTTTATTTCTTTTCTTTTTAGCGAGATTCTTATTATTTTTTAAATTAATGAGAAGTTGTTAAATATACTTTAATATCTTTAGTAAAGATTATGATGACATTTAATATTGAATGATTTATTAATTGACAATAATCCATTTCTTTCTCTCAATCTAATAAAAAAATAATTATTTTTTCTTTTTCATATTATTCATCGATTCAATGTATAATATTGTTTCTTTTCTATTACATTATTAATAAATTTATCAATTAATAATGATTATAAACTAATTCTTTGATAGGTACTTTCTATTTAATAATAATTTCAGCATATTATTATTAAAAATTACCAATTATTAAAAAGATGAGATCTAAATAATTAATAGTAAATGAGATAATGTTTTATTATAGAAGTTATGATAATAAAATTATTAAATATTTAAAGCATTATTTATGAGTAAAAGAAATGGTAATATATTATTTATTATTCATATTTTTTTTTAAAAGAATTAAAAAAGGAAGTTTAAACTAGTTTTGCAGATTTCTATCGATTTATACTATAAATTATTTAAATTAGAGATTAAAATATTACAAACAATTATTTTATATTATATAATTTTTAAAGTAGCTAAACAGAATCTGATGTGAATTTATAATCGAAAATGTATAATTTTATTCAGAAAATATTCTTTCTAAACATGAAAAAGACACTTTATTAAATTTCTTAAGGTTTTAAGGTGATAAATAGAAAAATAATTCTGCATTCTATGTTAAACTATATCTGGCAAAACTTTATTATAATAAAATCTGTAAATTATACTCAAAAAATTTATAATTAATGATTAAAAAATATTGTGTTTGCAAAAGGACAATTAGGTTTTTCACTTAATGATTTAAAGAAATTATTATCTCTTCATATAATGCTTTTTCTATAATTTTCACTAAATTAAATGAGCTTCACTAAGTAAAGAAAACATTGATTTATCAGTCAATGCAGCCAAGTAAACATTCATTTATACTAAAGCTAAAACCTTAGAACATTTTAGTATTAACTGAATATAAATGGTTTAAGAATACATTGATTAATATAACGAAGTTTGTAATGTCTTGTCAACACTTTCAAATCATCTTGCTATCTTAAAGAAGAATTTTATTGTGAATACATATCAGATTATGGAAGTGAGACTTTATGTTGCTGATACAATCTTATTTATTGTTACCATTTTATCAAATGAGAAACTTGAAGAATTATACAACTTTTTCAATAATTTTGTAATGGAATTTTTAGTGTAAGTTAATAATAAAGAAGAAACAAAGTAAGAAGTAAAATTAGAATCAAAGGTTATTAGTGTAACATGATCTTTATACTTTTGACATCTATATGAATACAATTTTCAGATTAGCTAAATTATTTCTAAAGGTGTTATTGTTAGTGGCTTAGAGTGGAATTACTAGTCATGCTGATGTGATTAGTTACCTTGATCAAGGTGTATTTGGGTTTTAATCAGTGAAGCATTAATGAAATCAAAAAGCAAAAGATCTTTTGTTAAAAGAATACTTGAATTAAAAGAAAAGAATGCAATTGTAAATAATGCAACATTATTATTAAAAATCAAAGCACCAAGAAGTCCTATAGTAAAAATATGTGGAATTTTAACTATTTAGGTGGCCATTGAAGCAGCTGATGCTGTGGCTGATATTATTGGCCTTATTTTTGCAAAATCTAGACGACAAGTTCCATTAGATCTAGCATTAGAAATTTTTAATGTTATTAGAGAAATGCAATCAGAAAAGACAATTGAAATTACTGATGATAAAGATGAGTTGACACCATATGAAATTCTGATCAACAAAACAACATGATGGGTTTAAATTGCATGCTAGGAAACCTTTGATTGTAGGTGTATTTCAAAATCAATCACTAGATTATATAATAAAAATCGTTGATATAATTAGATTTAGTTCAATTACACGGTGATGAGCAATCTGATTTATTACAGTTTTCGTCATCAAAGCTTTTCACATTGATGACAATTTCTCAAATCCTACGTTAGTTACACAACCTGGATATAATGCTTTATGTTTATTAGATACGAAACCAACTTGAATTAACATTCTGGAGGAAATGGACAAATATTTGATTGGGATATCGCTTTGAAAATCAACAAAAGTGTTTCAAATAAAATATGTCTGAAGGGGGAGTTTCCTATTATATTAGCAGGTGGATTGACACATGAAAATGTTGAGGATGCTGCAAGAAAGGTTAAACCTTTGATAGTTGATGTATCTAGTGGTGTCGAAACTAATGGGACAAAGATTTAGACAAATTAGAGAATTTATAACTAAAACTAAATCTGCTGTTTAAGAGGACGATGAAAAAAATGAGGAAATTGATGGTGATATTTCTGTGAATGGTGACAAAGAAAATCCGGTTGTTTACAACTGGATGATTATCAATAAAAAGAAACTGGGATTGCTAATTAATTAATCATTACATTTTTATAATTTCGTAGTTATGGTCATACGATACACAAAACAATGAGATTTAACTCACGATGCTTACAAATGCCTATATTGGGAAGTGAGGGAGGGTAAGAAAAATTTTATATTGCGAAAAAATTTAGGGTTTAATCTGAGAAGATAAACTCAATAGCATAGCAATTGTTATTATTTATACACAATCTTTTATAAGCTTTGCATTCAACCCTTTGTTCAATATTAAAAGAAAGTATATCAAACAAGAAAATCTAATGAATAATTTACAATTAATAAAGTGACACTTTTAAATTAATTATAAGCTGTTAAATGGATTTATTTGTATTAATATTTGCCTTTCAGCGGAATTATTTAACAAAAATCAAATACTTAATGGTACGGTGATCTTTAAAGACACTAAGGTTGCAGGACAAAACCTTAATCCTATTTGGCAAAAGTCGATAGTTTCGACAGTTTTCGACGGTTTGACAATTTCGACGAATTTCATCAGATTCAAAAATTAACTAGTTTTTTAAAATAAAATAAATAGAAAACGTCAAATTTTTCTAAAATTAGTAATTATTATTACTTATAATCTCACCATACCTTTTTTTAATAGATTTCAAAATTTTTAATTAGAATTCCTTCCGTAAATCAATTACAGTAAAAACCTTTCTTCTATCATCCATTTTCTTTCATATTCTTATAACAAGAATAACTTCTTCATAAACATGTTGTTTGTAAATAGGGTTTCTAGTATTTATAAATAGATTTAAGTCGTAAAATTATACATTTCACTTACTTTAATTATGCAATAATGATTGGCTTTCCATTGCAAATTTCTCCAAAAGCAACCTAGTTCATTACTACAAAGAACTGGATTGTTTACAGTCTTTAATTTAATGCTTAAACTGTTGTCTATGAATATTGTACATAATAAACCATAAAATCAGAATCAAATAAATTCGTTATTATTCTTTTTAAAGCAATCCAATTAATTCTTGCATAAAAAAAAATTGAAATTTTAGGTTTTGACACCCTTTGAATATCACAAAGTAGCATAGCTCATAACAGTCGATAAATTATATATCAAAGATAAGGTATTAAGTTCAAATTAATAAATTTATACAATGAACTTTTTCTAAACACGATCATTTTTAATATGAAGGTATATCTTGTTATAATTCACAGGACTAATAAATATAAAAAAGAAGATTTTGGAAAAATTTATAATTAACAAGATTAAAAAAGTTTTGATTATGATTTTATTTTATAAATTATATTTTATCGTATATTATTTCAGCATGAGTTTTAACGAACGATTCGTTAAACCAAATCAAATTCTTTAATAAGGTAAACTTTGATGAGTATTATTCGACATATTTACCCTTAAAATTAATTATAAATGCTTATCTATCTTATAGGTCTATTCATTTATGAAATAAAATAATTAATAATTTACAAATGATAGTATGTAATAAATTATATATACAAAATGTTTACTTTTTTTTTTTTTTTTTTTTTTTTTTTACAAATGTTTGTTAACTTCCAACCTTAACCATCATTATCATTATCTTTGTTTTCGTTGGCCTTTTGAAACCATGCGATCGACTCAAAAACGTGTTTCTTCGTTCCAATTCCATACATATAACAACGACCAACAGCAAATTGTGCCTTAGAAATTCCATTCTTTGCTGATTTTAAAAACCATTCGAACGCCTTTTCCTTATCTTCAGCAACTCCACCTATACCATTTTGATAATAATGACCAACTTTATATTGACTATTTCTGTTGCCACCTTCAGCAGATTTTAAATACCATTCAAAAGCCTGTTCAACATCTTTTTTCGTGCCTAAACCATTTTCAAAACATTCTCCAAGATAATACTGAGCAGTAGCATTTTTACTTTTTGCAAACTTCAAACACCATTCAAAAGCTTGCTCATTATCTTTGACAATATTTTCAAAACATAACGCAAGATTACAATGTGTTAAAATATCTTTTTCTTCCGTGGATCTTGAATCCCATCCGACCGCTTCGTCGTTGCTTTTTTTAGCCATTCCTATCTTATGCTCGTAACAATATTCTAAATAACACTGAATAAGACTATTTCCTGCTTCGGCAAAGTCCAGAAATAAATCAAATGCCTTTGCTTCATCTTTATTGGTTCCAATTCCTTTGATATAACATAATCCAAGGTTGTATTGTCCCAATATATCATTACCTTTCGCAGATTTTAAATACCAATCAAATGCTTCATTCCAATTTATTTCAATACCAATTCCTTCTTCATAACATACTCCAACCTTACATTGTCCAGAAGCATTTCCTCGTTCGGCGGATTTCAAGTACCATTCAAAGGCCTTAATTTTATCTTTAACCGTGCCTATTCCTTCCTCATAGCATAAACCGAGATTATATTGACCGGTGGAATCTCCTCCTTCGGCTGCTTTTGAGTACCATCGAAACGCTTCGTATTTATTTTGAGTAACTATGAACGAACCTTTATCATAGAATAATCCCACATTACATTGTCCGCACGCATTTCCACCTTCTGCTGATTTCATATACCATTCAAATGCTTTCTTTTCACTTTTAGATGTTCCAATACCATGTTCATATAAATACCCAAGCATACACTGAGCTACAAGATTTCCATTTTCCGAGGATTTCGAAATCCAATCAAATGCCTTCTCAAAATCCTGATCTACACCATCATTGATTCCTTTGTAATAAAATAATCCCAAGAAATATTGTCCAATGGATACCAGTATATCTTTAAAACAAAGACAAGCATCATTGAAGTTTGAACATAAATTAATTTCAGAACAAATATTTTCTTGATATTCATCATACACGGATCCTTTTAAATAAAATTCAAATGCTTTCATTTGATCCATCTCATCACACCCGATCCCATGTTCATAAAAAAATCCAAGTAGGTTCGTAAAATAACCTTGATGCTTTTGGTTCAACATCATTTCCAATAAATGTTTTGATGATAATTGTTCATCGATACCAACATGATTTAGTATAAATTCATTTAGCCAATCAGAAGTAATGGTGGTATTATGCGAAAGGTAAAATTGATAAATAAATTCCAACAGTAATTTTTGTAATATTAATTCATTTATATCCTTGTTTAGATTTTCTAACGAATATTTGATTTCTGTTATAGTTCCGGGTTTAGATAATAATTCGTCTAGAGATTTTTTTTCAAATTGTTTTTCCACCAAGGTTAAACACGATCCGACTGCCGAAGAGTTGCTATTATCTACACATTGCATGCGATTTTGCGAAGATGAATATGTCATTATACTGGATTCATCACTTTGATGCTTCATTTTGAACATTGCCAATAAATCTAATATGATCGAAGACGGAGATGACGTAGTTGAAGAAAATGAATTTTTCCTATAATCTACAACTTTGATGCTATCATTTGTGTTGGAGATTATTGTATCGCTTAAAACGGTTGATCCTCTTGCCTTTTCACCAATTATTTCGATTTCATTAAGTTTTTTTAAGACCTGTTGAATATTTGGTCGATTCTTTGGATCTCCTTCCCAACAAGCTATGAGTGAAAATAACAAATGGATAAAATGAGATCATCATCATCATCATCATAATCATTTTTTTTTTTTTTTTTTTTAAAGAAACGTTTTAACAAGTGGTACCTACCAGTATAAATATCCACATATTTACTTGGAATTCCCTTAACAGCAATCTCTCTTTTTCCTTCAATTATTGATTGAACCAAACTGAAATCAGGCAATTCAAATTCAAATGGAATCCTGCCGCTTGAGATTTGCCAAAGTAAGACACCTACACTGTACACATCCGATTTCTTATTCCTAATAAATTCTTGATGATTCTTTAAATATTCAGGGTCAGCGTATTGAATAAAAGTACCGTAAATTTTTGAAATAGCATTCATCGGTTTCCTTGTCTTCTTGGTGATGCCGAACCCACTTAATTTAATATTTTCATTTTGAATAAGAATATTTACAGCGTTCTTTAATGCGAAAATGTAAAAGGAAATCGAATCATGTTAAAAGAATTAGTTGAAGGATTACAAAAGTACACTCGCAATAAAACTTACCAAATCCTTATGAACAATGTCGTTCCCGTGTAAGCAATAAATTGCATTTACAAGTTGTTTTGCCAACTTCAACTTGACGTCCCATTTGAGTTGTTTGAACGATTTCTTTAAGAAACTGCAGAGAGTTCCTTCATCAGCGTATTCAAGCAGCAGCATATATTGATACTGACCTCGATCTAAAATAAGAGGAAATTCAGTTAAACGAGTAAGCGAGAGGCGCAGCAAATCGTCGAGAATGACTGCGGCATTCGTATCTTTTGTTTTATGTGACGTACCCTCTTTGGTAATGCCATAAAACCGTACAACATTTTCATGTAACTCGACTTTTCTATGTTGCTTTACCTAATATTAAGCGAAGATAAAAATAATATAAAATGGAATTAAATTAATTTCTGCAAAATAAAAATAAAAAAAGCGAACCATGTTAAGAACACACATACCTCGTCCACAAGATCTTGTATGGTAAATGATTGGTTAAAGCTTATAGGTTTCAAGAGCATAGGTTTATGGTATATTTTTGAAGTAGCGACATAAGCCCTAGCCGCAGCATCTCCGATGTATTTTAAATGATGAAAGGTATGAAATTCATGAAATATAATGTGCTCCTTAAACAGCACATCCGTAACCCATTCCTCCTTAACGGTCGAACTTGGTGAACTTTTGATAATTTTTGTATCATTTGACATATTAATTTTTTTTTTTCCTTAATAATACTTAATGGTTTATTAAGAAAGGTTGGAATTATTTTAAAAAGGAGAAAACCCAATTTTTATAAATGATTTTAAAAAAAATTAATAAAACTCCTTTCGGTATAAAGCCGCAATTGTTTATAATTAAGTATTAAGGTAAATTTTCATGCGTGGGGTCTATTTAGGTTTGATGTAATGCATATGAACCTGCTAATTTTATCGTATTTGTAATTGACCAGCCAAAATTATGTGTGGTGAATCCATTGTATATCAAACCCCAAAATCTTCTCACGTGCTTATGGCAAAATATTTATCACGCCCCGTTTTGATTATTTTTTCTTGGGTAAATTCCGGGTCGTAGAAAAGTTTCGTCATATTTGTCACCGGTTATTCATCACGAAATAATTTTCATTAATAATACCAGTCAAATAATCCCATGGGGTGATGTACTCTAACCTGCATTATTACGAATGGTTCACATGTTTGCTTTGGTGAAATTATTACCCGGAAATAGCAGGTAGGTCAGGTGTTCCAAACACAAGTCGATGAAATTATCTATAATGGGACTCGAAAGATATTCATCCTAACATTGGACAGCCTAAACTTGCATTATTATAAACATCAAACCTGTCGTACAAGAATACAAAAATATAAATTTAGCCTAACCGTCTCATTCATAAACTTTTTAATTATATAATATATAAAAATGGATTAATAAACAAATTGTTTCAAATAAGTTTCATTCTATTTCATTCGTTCATATTAACGTGATTATACAAAAATGATCGTGCGCTATTAACCTAGGGGTCAATATAAGCATCGTTTTATCACGGAATAAAGAATCTTTATTTGCGCGATGTGAGTGAGAATGTTTCTTTAAATTTCCTCGTAATAGAAAATTGCCGTAGCTCGGAATTTTTTTGTTTGAAATTTTCCATGAAAAAAGGTAACCGTTCAATGGCGCTTCATTGATTTTGCCAAGGAACAACGTTTATTTAAACGAGAAAAAGGGAATTGGCGTTGATTCGTAAAATTCATTCCGGTCATTTGAAAAACAAAAAAATTCTAGATTTGATGATAGAGCGTACATCTAACGCCCAATAGTTTTACTGCATATAAACAAATTGCCTTTAAAGGACCTTAAAAAGATTTTCACCTTTTATTCATTCCATAAGCAGAAGCTTGTACGCTCTTTATCCATTTGTTAGAAATTATTTATGTGACGTTCGTCAGCTTTTGTTTTGAAAATCTTTTTTGAACATATGAATTGAAATCGCAACTATTTAACCGAACTCAAAGACCCTGATAAAAAAATATTCTTTTCACCCTAAAAAACAAAAAAATTAATCTAAATATAAAATGAAATCACGAGAAGAAATAAGGATTTTAATTACCAAAACCAATGAAAGTTTCCTAAAAAAGTTTCTTAAAGATTTTCATGATAGGGTCGTGTATGCTGATCATATTTGTGATTTGAAAAATTTTGAGAATCAAACCATCAAATGGATAAATTACATTGCAAGTATCCAATTCAAATCCATTTTTGATTTAATGGTAAATCATCAAAAAAATGAAATATGGTTCTCTAGCTTAATTGGATTTTTTCTTCAACATGGTATTGGAGGGTGCGTGATTAATGTAAATAGGGCGTATGAATTCTACCTATTAGCCAAGAATATCGATGATGGTGAGGAAATTCCAAATCATCTTGATGATGATTTAAAAAAATATAACATCGTTATTGGAAATTATTTATTCGCCTTGTATTATTATAGAGAAATCATCGTGAGTAGAAGTTCGTTCGATTGGGTGATACGATTTCCAAACAACAAAAGCTCTCTTGACCAAAATCAAGTGAAAGATGTTAAAGAAATTTATAACAAAGCATTTGAGTGGCATTTAAAATCTGCGAATGAAGGAAATCCTGATGCGCAATATAATTTGGCAAGATGCTATCATTTCGGTAGAGGGACAAACGTTGATGTAAAGAAAGCATTTGAATGGTATTTAAAATCTATTTTAGGTGAAAGTCCTGATGCAAAATATGCTTTAGGTAATTGTTATCAATATGGAGAAGGAACGAATAAAGATGAAGAGAAAGCATTCCAATGGTATTTTGAATCTGCAAAAGAAGGAAATAATGATGCACGATATCATTTAGGTTATTGTTATCAATTTGGCGTAGGAACAGATAAAAATGAATTGTTAGCATTTAAATGGTATCTAAAATCTGCTGAAGGTGACAATGTCGATGCACAATATAGTTTGGGTTGTTGTTATGAATATGGTAGAGGGACCAAGATAAATGAAAGGAGAGCAATTGAATGGTATGCGAAATCTGCCAAAAGTGA